CCCCAAACCAGAAAAACCACCCCCCCACCCCCCGTGAGTGTGGCCTGGATTGAGGGGGCGCTGGTGGTGAGGGCACCTTTTCCTTCCCGAGCCCCGGTCGTTCGGGTTGGTCCTCGGCATGTTGCCTAGTTTTCCTCCCTCATCCTTCCCTGATTCCCAGGTGCGCTCACTGGGGGGTAGATGCGCACAGAACCCTGCTGTCCACCCCCCTCCCCCGGGACAGGCACCCCGAGGGGGCATCAGGGTTTCCTGGGGAAGGTCTCTGGGACCTGCTCATACGCAGAGGTGAGTGGCTGTCGAGGCCACGGCCTGCGCTGGGCAGCTCATGCAGGTGCTACCCTGGTTGCTGTAGCGACAGAGAACCCCGCCCCCCTCCATGCTGTCGTGCATAGGGGAGGTTCTGTACGGAGGACAGCAGAGAGGCCATAAGCGGAGCTGATTCCCCACCACGATGGGTCAGTGTCATCTCTCCCGCGTGAAAAACAACCCTCTGGCCATGCGTGCGAGGCAGGCACTGTTCCCAGCGCTTTACCTGTAGTAGCCAGTCCGCCTCTAAGGACCCCCCACTACCCCCCCGCCTGTCCTGGCCAAGGGCGCACAGGGCCCCAGGTTAATTAGCTGCCCCACAGGCTAAATGCCCGCACAGCGCACAGTGAAGGGGCGGAGCTGTCATCTGATTCCAGAACCGCTGGCTTCCAAGCCTGTTCTTCTACCGGTTCTCAACCTGTGGGTCGCGACCGCTTTGGCAGTCGAACGACCCTTTCACAGGGGTCGCCTAAGACCATCCTGCAGATCAGATATTTACATGACGATTCATCACAGTAGCAACATGACAGGGATGAAGTAGCAACGAAATAATGTTATGGTTGGGTCACATGAGGAACTGTATTTAAAGGGCCAGAAGGTTGAGAACCACTGTCAGCACTTGCATCCCACCGGGAAAAGGGTGCGTGGCCTGTGGGGTACCGTTACCTACTTGTCGTTTATTCAGAAGACGCTGCCGCCGCGCTTACCTCGAAGTCCGAGGGGTTGAACTCGTAGCTGATGTTCCAGCCCAGCATCCCGTATTTCCTCCGCTCGTTGATCAGAGCGTTGAAGAAACACAGGCTGAACAAGAGCCTTTTCCACCAGGGGCCGCAGTTGGGTTTTTCAAATATTTCTTCCGTCACCTCTCCACTGCCGTCGTGTCCAAGCGTCTTCAGTAAATTACTCTTCAGCCCCATGGGCATCTCCACGGCGATCTTAGGGCAGACACGAGTGAGAACAGCACGTGAGGGCACGTGGGCTCCAGGCCGGGGTGGGGGGGCTGCTCTACTTCCGGGGAGATAACTAGCCAAGCTCCTCAAGTTCAAGCTTCACCGGCAAATCAAAACTCTTGTGTGTCCGGCCGGCATGGCTCAGGGGTTGAGCTCCGACCTATGAACCAGGAGGTCACGGTTCGATTCCCGGTCGGGACATGTGCTGGGATTTCGGGCTCGATCCCCAGTAGGGGGCGTGCAGGAGGCAGCCGATCCATGATTCTCTCTCATCATGGATGTTTCTATCCCTCTGTCCCTCTATATAGACACCATCATTGGTCTTTTCTTAGAAGTGAGTCACCCGATTAAACTGTATGGAACTTTAAAATGTGAGT